GGTATCCTTGTCCTCCATCGTCGTTGATCTGATCCTCCATCACACAGTAGCAGATTACTCTCCTTACTGTAATCTAGAAGGATACAATTAGCGTTTGGTCAAGCACTTAGTTCTTACCTGCTACTCTTTCACTTGATTGGATTGGTTCAGGACAAGCAATCAGTGAATACTCTTTGAGAAACTGAATGAAAGATTTTGGGATGTTGGATCTTTCAAATTCAGACTTACGTTTGAATTCCTTGTCCTAGCGCTTCCAGGGGCTCCAATCTTTTCCAGCATTATCTGATTATTCGGGTGTCTTTCACTACGTACGTTAGTACGATACCCTCNGTACGATACCCTCTAAGCACAACACTTCTTCTTCAGTTGGAGGGTGTTAGACATCTGAAAACAACGATTACAATCGAAATGATCATTTACCTGTGTACAACCAACAGAGTAGTTGGAGATCAAGTTTAGGGTTTCATCCTCCCAGTACATTCTCTCATAAAAAGTTACCAGCCTAAGAATCGAATTATTAATAAGCTAATCTTCCTTTAGTCACCTGTTGATCCTGCAATGTCCGTGTATCGCAACTAAACCGTTCTTATCAGCTTGCTGAGGTTGAACTGACTCGGCCAATCAGAACAAAAAACAAGATCCCAGTTCGTTCAAACTTGTAATGAGCTAAATACAAACAAATAAACTGTATTCCTAAACTCTCGATATAGTCTCCGCGAGTTCTAGAGTGGTTTCTTACTCCAAAGCACAACATACGTCCGTGAGCTGGAGCACAGCCGCTTACTATCATTGATGAGAGGAATAAAACTTGTAGCAAGTTCATTCTTGACTTTCTATTCAAGTGAGCGGTGTGTTGGACTCTGCAATTGACTGAATGTCATACCTCTGCTTCAAACAATTCAAATAGGATGAATCTTTAAGCTGATCCCTAGAATAAGATAAACATGAATATGAGAAGAGTGATCAAAACCCACTGGTAGTCGATTTCAATACCAACAACAGAAAAGAGCACTTTCAGGGTCTTAGTTGTGGCAAGAC